GCCAGGGAATTCTGGGAGTTGAAGTCCACCCGTTGTAAAGGGGCCACGTTTGGACGGCCGGGGAATTCTGGGTGTTGGAAGTCCACCGGTCTTAAAGGGGGGCCACTGTTAGACAACTGAGGGGTTCTGGGAGTTGAAGTCCACCGGTCTTAAAGGGGCCACTTTTGGGGACCCCCCACCCTGATGGAACCACCCTAATTCAGCCTGAAAAAACACTTCTGCAGCCGCGGGAAAACCCCTCCTGCCATCGTGAACAGGGCATTGATTCCCTCTCCAGCCCGTCGCAGGGGTCCAGCGGGAGAAAATACCTGCCCTCCCACCCACCGTGCTCTATTTTTCAGGACCCCACCCCCACCCGGCAAGGACCTTCCCCCGCCCCGCTCGCCCCTTCCCCTCCTACCTGTCAGGCAGGCGGTGAAGAGATCCCCGCAGGCCACGTGCTTGATGGTCACGCCGGACTGGCCCTCCAGGAAGCGGCACACAAACTGGGGCTGCAGCTGCTCCGTGGCCCCTGGGAGCGAGGGCCCGCCGGCCGTGCCGAAGGGAGGCGGCTGTGGAAGCAGCGACAGCGAGACCAGGTCAGGCACGGAGGCTCGGCTTCAAAATCCAGGCTTGAATAGCCCACGGGGAAGGAGCCCCCTGGGCATGTGCAGAGGTCCTCCTGCCGGAGGGAACCGGGTCGCAAGGGGAAGGTGCCCTGGGGTGGGGGCGGGGGGGCTTGGGTGAGCCCCAATATCTCCCGGCTTGGCTTTCTCATGTATGGAGGGAAGACCTGCCTCCCCCTCTCACTCCTCCTCCTCCTTCTCCTCCCTGCAAACCCCGCTCCCTTCTAGCACTGATGATGCTACCTAGTTGGGTCACGAAAGGTCCTCCTCCCTCCTCTTTGTCTCTCTCCCTTTCCTCCTCCTCCTCCTCCTCCTCTTCATCTCCCCCCCTTCATTCCTTCCTTTTCCCCTCCTCCTCTTCCTCCTCTCCACAAACCCCACTCCCTTCCAGCACTGATGATGCTACCTAGTTGGGTCATGAGACGTCTGCAAGAAAACAACCAGGTTCAGAGGAGCACCAAGGACTCCACCGTATTCTTCTTCTTCCTCCTCCTCCTCCTCCTCCTCCTCCACTTCCTCCCCCTCCTCTCCACAAACCCCACTCCTTTCTAGTATTGATAATGTTCCCTAGTTGGGTCGTGAAAGGCCTACAAGAAAACCACCCAACTCGGAGGGCACCAAGGACCCCACAGTCCTCCTTCTCCCCCAAGAGTCTGGCTGCCCCCCCCTCCCCTCCCCCCCGTGCCCCCATCCGCTTCCCAGATTATTTCATTCCTTCTCTCCCCCACACCGACTGGGAGCTGAACTGTTTGTGGTTATTCAACGTATTCTGATCGAATTGGCAGGATAATGGGGGGGGGAGGGGGGGCAACTCTTTCCCCCTTGGACGTCCCTTTTCTACCTCGGCCATGCCAGCCCTTCTGGTGCCCACCTGAAGCTGCCATCTTGACCCCGCTTGGACCTGCCGACTGTCTCCCCACTCTGGGGGGGGGGTCTCTTCTTTAAAAAGAAAAAAGAAAAACGTGGAGCAAACACGGAGTAGGTAGAACCGGGGAGGTGGGGGTTTCGCCTTGCCTCCCTAACAGAGCTGAGGGAGGGGGGGTGTCCTCCACCCCTGGCAGAAGCTGACAGGGAGGGGGAGTGCGGCTCCGTTGGCTGCGGAGGAAACTGGGGAAGGGCAAAAGTCCGGCTGGGCAGAGCAAGGGGAGAGGTAGAACAAGGGAGAGGGAATTTGGAGGAAGACCCAGGCCCACCCGCTCTTCATCCTAGGGCCACACAGGGAGGAACGAAAAAGGGAGCAACATGAGTTGCATGGCTTACGGGGGAGGACAGGGCCCTGATTCCCTTCATTAGCTGCAACTGGCAATGAGAGTTTAAAAGAGATGCAAGCGGAGTGCAGCAGCTGCTGGGAACAAATGTGAGTTTATCTGGTGTTGACTGTGGTTATCTGCGTTCCTGGCATCCTCCCAACCGGGTTGAATTACTGCCACGCCTTCACATCTGGAATTCCTTCTCCGGCCCTGCCGGACTAATGACCTCATTTTGCCTTGTTTGGACTTATAGTTACATTTTTCTTTGATAACGTTTTGGACCTGATTCTCTGCAGCCCAAAGGATGTTTACCTGGGAGAGTTTTTCTCCAGCCCAGAAGGTCACCAGGACATTGGGGGCAAAGTTTGGCGCTAACAAAGGGACTCCTACGGATTATCTGACTGGGTTGCCTTTGGGCCACGCCACTTCGGGTCGTGACATGAAGAGGCCTCTCACCTCCCACATGACCAGCCGCCCGGATTTGGTCACACCAGCCTTCTGTGTGCGGCCCGTGGACACCTGCACCACCTCCGTGTTCAGCACAGGCAGGCGGAGGGGCCTGGGGATGCCAGAGCCCCAGGTATAGGTGGAGGACAAGGCCGGGGGGAGGCTGGGCCTGGGGGGTCCGGTGTGGCAACCTGCGTCCGAGAGAAGGAGGTCAGTTCATCAGGGTTGGAAGGGACCCTGTAGGTCATCTAGTCCAACCCCCCCCACCCAAGCAGGAGACCCTACACCATTTCTGACACATAACCATCCAGTCTCTTCTTGAAAGCCTCCAGGGATGAAGCTCCGACAACTTCTGAATAAAAGAGTAATAACAGAGGTTGGAAGGGACCTTGGAGGTCATCTAGCCCAACCCCCCCACCCACAACTTCTGAAGGCAACTTCTGTTCCATGGGTTGATTGTTCTGTCAGGGAGGATAATGGGATGCTGGAAGGGCCGGGGTGGGGGGTGGGGGTCATGCTCTGGCCGCCCCAAGACCCCAATAAGAACCGCCCCTCCGAGTCTGCCCCTCCCCGTGGGGCAAAATTCCAGGTGACCTTTTTTTGGGGGGGGGAGACCCCTGCCCCTCTTACCCCTCACTCTGGCCGCCACAGTCACACCCCCAGCTCTGCTCTGGGCCACGGAGGGCACCGCCGTCCACGACTTCTCCGGTCTGCCGAGATTCAGTTTTAGTTTTGGTGGTTTTTAGGTTTTAGGTTTTAGGTTTTAGTTTAGGTTTCGGTTTAAGTGTTAGTTTCAGTTTCAGTTGACTTGATTGTCATTGCACATCGTGCAATGAAATTAAATACCATTATGACTATGAAAATAAACACAAAATCACATCCTTCACATGCTATGCCAGGGGTGTCCAACCTTGGCAACTTTAAGACTTGTGGACTTCAACTCCCAGACTTCCTCAGCCAGCTGGCTGAGGAATTCTGGGTGTTGAAGTCCACAAGTCTTAAAGTTGGCTGAGGAATTCTGGGAGTTGAAGTCCACAAGTCTTAAAGTTGGCTGAGGAATTCTGGGAGTTGAAGTCCACAAGTCTTAAAGTTGGCTGAGGAATTCTGGGAGTTGAAGTCCACAAGTCTTAAAGTTGGCTGAGGAATTCTGGGAGTTGAAGTCCACAAGTCTTAAAGTTGGCTGAGGAAGCCTGGGAGTTGAAGTCCACAAGTCTTAAAGTTGACTGAGGAATTCTGGGAGTTGAAGTCCACAAGTCTTAAAGTTGGCTGAGGAATTCTGGGAGTTGAAGTCCACAAGTCTTAAAGTTGCCAAGGTTGGACACCCCTGTTCTACGCCATTGAACCGAACCCCCCTGACACCACACCAACCCTGCACTATACAGTAGAATTCAACAGAGCTCCTGCCCTGCGATAGAAGCTGTTTTTCAGCCTATTTTTCCTTGTTTTTATCATTGTCCTGTACCGTCTGCCGGACGGCAATAGTTCAAAAAAAGGTCTGCCCAGGATGAGGTGGATCTTGAAGGATGTTTGGAGCAGGAGACCATACAGGTAGTCCTTGACTTACGGCTGGAATTCAGCCCAAAGATTTCCCGTGGCTAAGCAAGATGGCCCAATGCCCCATGTTACGACCTTTCTAGCCGCCGTTAAGTGAATCACTGCCGTGATGTTGGGGGACACACCGCTCGTGAAAGGGAATCGGGCTTTCCCCCTTATGTTACTGGGGATCCCCGCGAGTCGGTTGTCCAAACCTTTTGACTGGGTGACTGTCGGGATGCGGCAACGGTCGTTAAGAGTGAAAAAAAGAGCCCCCGTGTCTCTTTTTGCAGAGCCGCGGTAACTTGGAAAGGTCACTAAATGAACCATCGTAAGTCGAGGACTCCCTGGGTTTGTCAGGCAGGGGAGGGGGGGAGAAGCAGGGGGAGGGGCTTGGCGGTCGCCCACTTGCCTCCTCATCCGGACGCTGCCCACATCGGTGTAGAGGTTGAGCAGCGGCCGGACACACAGGGCCTCCGCCATGATCTCGTCCAGCTGTGGCCGCTTGCAGGGCTCCAGGTTGAGCAGGCTGAGGATCAACTGGCGAAGTTCCGGGCTGTAGCGGTCGGAGATGGGCGCAAAGGTGCCGCTCATAATCTTCAACACCAAAGCGGGCAGGTTCTGCAGGAGAGGAGGGCGGGGGCGTCCAGCCGGGAGTCATGGGAGGGGCAGTCAGGACCTCCCCCCAAAATGCCCCAGGAGGGCGGCAGAGGGGGGGGGACAACAGCCCTGTGAGGGGGGTTGGGCTGAGAGACAGCTTTCGGGGCTGAGGCGGGACTAGAACTCCCAGCCTCCTGGTGATTGGCCCAAAGTCACCCTATACAGACAAATGTAAGCGGCCAGCTCTTCTGGGGCATATAGAACATGGAATCACAGAGTGGGAAGGGCCCTTGGAGGTCTTCTAGTCCAACCCCACCCCTCAGGCAGGAAACCGCACTCCCCTTCAGACCAACGGCTCTCCTGATCTGTGTTGTGGGGTCGGGTGCGCTGGGCGTTCTTCAGGCGTCCCAGGGGTCCAGGGCAGCAGTCCTCCCGCCAGCCCCACTCCCTCCTCCCGGGGTCCGGCGGCTTACGGCTGCCTCGAAGGCCCTCTTCAGGCTGGCCAGTTCGTAGAGGACGCAGCCCAGGGCCCAGATGTCGCTCTTCTGGTTGTAGGGCTTCCCTTCACACAGCTCCGGGGAGATGTAACAAGGGGTACCCACCACCTGAGGAGAAAGAGAAACACCCACCCACCCCGCAAGGGACGCCCGTCAGTGAATCCGGACCCCTGCAACCCCACCCCGCTCCAGCTCAGTCCCATACAGGGGGTCCCCGGCTTACGACCGCCCCCGAGCCCCGAATTTCCTTTGCTCGTCCGAAGGACACGAAAGGGGGAACGCGGGACTCCCCCTCCCCCAGGGACACCGCGGCCGCCCTCAACACGAGTCAAGTCGCCTGAATGATGACCGTGGGACTGCTGCCACGGTCGTAAGTGCGAAAAACAGTCCTAAGTCTCCTGCAGCCTTCGGCCAGCAAACCCAGGGCCCCTTTTCGCTGGCCGAGGGCTATCGAAACCAACTCGAAAGAAAACCCCGAGGGGGAAAAGTTTCCCCTTGTGCATTTTGAGCCTGCAAGAAAGGAGGAAGGAAGAAAGAAGAAAAGGAGAAGGAAGAAGGAAGAGGGAGGGAGGGAGGGGAAGGCCCAGGAGCCGCCGGGGGAGGAACCCTCACGGTGTAGGCCTTGCTCTTGCTGCTGAGGATCTTGGAGATGCCGAAGTCCCCGATCTTGAGGGTGGTGTGGTGCTTGTCCAGCAGGATGTTCTGGGTCTTGAGGTCCCGGTGCAGGATCTGCTTGGCGTGGACGTGGTGCAGGGCCAGTAGGATCTGCACGAAGAAGTGCAGGATGGTCTCTTCGTCCAGGAGGGAGTTGCCCCGCTTGCGGATGAACTCGGCCAGGGTGCCACCTGGGCAGAAGAGGGGGGAGCGGGAGGCAGCCTCAGGCCCCGTGCCCACAGAGCCCGTGTGTTTCCCCCCCGTCTGTTCCCCCCCCGGACGGAGGGTTTCCTCCAGAGGTGCCACACGCAGCTGGTTCGAACCGTTGAGCGGTTGGGAGAACCAGCCAACCCCATCAAATCTTCCCTGCCTCCCATTGAGTTGCCCCGCCCAGGAGAACGGAGCTGGAAAGCAGGTCAGTGGGGAGGGAAGAGGGATTGGGCGGTATATCCCACCCCTGCCACACCCACCAAGCCGCAAGCCACGCCCACAGGACCGGTAGTAAAAAAAAAAGTGGGAATCCCACCCATGGTTTCCTCCCCACTAAAAACCCCTCTGCCTTTTGGCCTCTGGGCGGGGCTGCCAGGAAGTCCCGTCTTCGCTTTAAAATAGGAGCATCCAAGCCAGGCCACTTTACGACTCGTGGACTTCAACTCCCAGAATTCTGCTGGCTGAGGAATTCTGGGAGTCGAAGCCCCTAAGGCTGAAAGTTGGATGGGGAATTCTGGGAGTCGAAGTCCCTAAGCCTGAAAAGTTGGATGGGGAATTCTGGGAGTCGAA